CGCAGAAAACAGGCGTGAAGTGGAAGCAATTCCGCGTTTCGTCTGATGAGTGTGGTGCCAGAGGCCAAATTTTAGTAACTTTTCCGTTCCACCCTTTTCTTATAAGGTAAGGGTTGGATGGGAGACTGGATTTGACAGTGGAGGAGAGACAATATTACTATAGATAAAGGGAAAATAAAAAAATCTTTTACCAATAAATAGCTATGTTATCACTTAAATAAGGCTATATTTATGATATTTTTTTTAAGGGACGAAATCACAAACAACAGCTAGTTAACAATATATCCTCTCAATTCATTTGCGAAATACAAAACACCAATCGAATTAAGAACCCCCTTTTTGAAGTTGGTTAAAAACAACAGTTACAAATTAAAGCATTCAAGTGTTGGTACAATTACCCTTTTCATCATAAGTCCGTTCCGTGCCGTAGAACTTGAGCGCCTCGTCCGCGGTCGCCTTCTGTCCGCTGTACAGCAAATAACAGCACACCATCGTGCCTGAAACGATACCGGCAGATACATTAATACACAACAGTGGTAGAGCCCGCTTTAACATCTTAGCACGAATGGGCCGGCGGCCTGGTGTAATACCACGACCACACAGAAGACAGGCGTGAAATGGAAACAATTCCGTCTTTCCTCTGATGAGTGTGGTGCCGGAGGCCTAATTTAAGTCCCTTTCTCTTTACCGCCCTTTTCTTGTAAAGAGAGGATGGGAAGAGGAAGTGGATTTGACTGTGGAGGAGATGCATAGGAAGGGGAAAATATCCTCTTTATGTGCGTCTCCTCCGTCGGATAAGGGTAGGCAACGCATCCGCAATTGCGGATGTCTATGGGCAGCGGTCGCTTCGCCACTTTGGCGATTTCAGGTGGCCGCTTGCTCGTTTGCCACCTTATGTTATAAAAAAAGAAAAAACATTTATATCATCATCAGCATCATCATCCTCTTTATCCTACTCCCGTAAGGTCGGCGCGATAGGTCATTGTCCTCCACATAACTCTATCATACGTCATCTCAGTCATCACTTCCTTTTTGATCATGTCACCTTTATCGCAATCCATCCATCTCCATCTAGGTTTACCTCTACCGATGTACCCTTCCACACTCATAACTGTCCTTGTAACATGCGATTCATCCTTCATAACATGCCCATACCATGCTAACCTTTTACTCCTTACCTTCTCTACCACTGGGTCTACTCTCAAACTCACCTTAGCAATCGATTACAGAAATATGAAAATTCTTAAAATTTATAAATATACATAATAAATATAAACTTATTTAGAGTTGCTCAGAAATAGTGTAATATATGCACTATAATCTAAAGATAGAATTCCGCTGTCTAATAGGTAATAAAAAACCGACTAAATATACTCTAAAACAGCCACATATAAACTTAGTACAACCCTCCTACATACATAACATAAGTCAGTCAAGTAAAAAGTAGGAAATTTCCTGTTTTTATTTGTATACAACTTAAAATCTATTTCAGGAATATAAAAATTCTTAAAATTTATAAAAACATAATGAATATAAATTTATATCGAGTTGCTTAGAAATAGTGTAATTCGAGATTGTGCTAGTCGAAGCTATTCATAAAACCGTTATGCAAAAGGCATAATTCTATATTTAATATATAATTTACATTCAAAAATTTATTTATAAGTTTGCCAATTTTAACAACACTGTAGCAAATCATTAATAATATACTCAAGTTTAAAATAATTCTAATATAAATATTTTATAAACATTAATACTAAATTTAAACTAAACAGAAATCATATATTATAAAAATATTATAAATGCGAAAGTTACGATGGATGGATGTTTGCTAGCGTTTGCAACCTAAACGGCTGAACAGATCTCAATGAAATTTGACACAGGGTTAGAGCATAGTCTGGAAGAACACATAGGCTACTTTTTATCCCGGGAATAGTTACGGTTCTCTGGGATTCATTTATTTAGTTTTTTAATGTATACTCGATCATTCTGCAACGGTTCGACATATCTTATTGAAATTTGGCACAGATATAAAACAAAGTCTGGAGTACACATGGGATAAGGTTCATACCCGCCAATGTCCTGTTCCCGAGGGATATGTAGCTTTTTGTTATTTATATAGTTCGTATGTTTTCTAATACCACGCGGACGAAGTCGCGGGCAACAGCTAGTTATTATCATATTTTCACAATAGAGAACCGAAATATTAAAATGTAAATGCAGAATATAAATAAAAATAAAATGTGAAGATTTGAGACTTCTTAAATAAAAATTCAAATCAAATATTAGAAATTCATAGGAAACGAAACTAGCTTTTTTATAAGAGTCTAGATTCATACATTAGCGAGGCTGATGAACTTTTAACATCACCGCATTGTCATAAGACTTCATTAACATATGTGAGATTTTACGACCAAAGAAAAAACATCTTTACAATCTATGTCACCGAACGTTCGTAAATGCCGCCAGTTTGGCATTTGCCTAGATAAATTAGCGTTTAAGAAGTTGCAACTTTTATTACTGCATGTTACTTTGTAAATGTTTAGTATATGTATTACATAATGATATATCTCCTATGTACATATTCAGGAAGAAATATTGAACGATATAACCCACAGGAGTTCGTGATAAGGAAAAAAATGACCGAGTTTAATAAATTTCTTAAGGAATCGTGAGAAAAGGGCATGTATTTTAGTGAAATGGCCAACCTTTTTGCCCCCAATGTTTCTTTTCATAACGCGTTTTTACGCCCCTTCGTCGGTCGCAAGGCGAGGCGATTTCAAAAGGGTCCCTTTTTTTTCTTCGACCGAAATTTACGAGGAACAGCGTGAAAGTCGGTGCAGTAATTCGGCCAATTATGGGTCGTAAAGAAATTTCGCAATTACTTGTGGACCGCGGTTTGGGGGTCCTTTTTGTTCGGTTCATTACAATGGTTGTGCGGGCTATGTGTAATTTCGACGCGGTCTTTGTTGCCGGGCGCTCCCAAACGTATCGCGTTACGTTCGCATTACGCTGATTGTTGCTAATGATGTCAATAAGCTTAATGGTTTAGGCGATCATAAAAACTTAATCTTACTAATAATATAAATGCGAAAGTTTAGATGGATGGATGTTTGATAAGAGTTTGTAGCCTAAACAGCTGAACAGCTCTCTCTACTCAGATGTAGAGGTTAGTCTGAAAGACCACATAGGCTCACTTTTGTTTTTTGTTGTTGCGAGCGAGTTGCGGGCGAAAGCTAGTATTTATATAAATTGCAAAATTAACGCTAACGCCATCTTGAAAACTCATCCCGTTATTAAACATTACAACGATAAATAAAATATCAAACACAAAGATTTAAACAGAGTAGAGAAATGGATACTTAGGGCTCGTTATACAAAATCAATTTTAAACTCAGACCCGAACGTCTGTAGCGAGCTTGCAATATGGTAGGCAGTACAGTAACATTATAAAAATGTACAAAAACCAGAAACGAGATGAACTTTAACCCTTTACTATTTTCGCACAATACTATTGTACATTACCATATAATCTAAAATCGATGTCAATTCATTCGTCTGTGAAAGGAATCGACAAGACAAATCTTTCACAGTTGCATTGTGATCATTGTAAACCATTTTGTGACAACATATCTATTAGAGAATCGTGCCACATATTTAATAGATTCTTTTCAGAGCTCGTACTATAAGAAAATCTATTCTTCGACCCGCTACACGTGTATGCAGAAATATTTTATCTATAAGGGTTCAGACACACTAGTGTTTTGCGTATTTAAAAATATTTAGGCGATTTAAATCACTTTTATAACGCAATATAAATACGCATTGCCTTTGACAATTTAATGCTTTAATATGTGAAAAAGAGTGGAGTAAATTTAATATTTGCCACATTGTATAGTATAGCTAAATATTGAAACTAACTTATTACGCTAAAAAAAGACTAAACTATATGATAATACTAAACAAAATGTTAAAGATGTTTTATTCACGCTGCATATCTGTGATTTAATAAAATTTTTCACGCGACTGCTCTAGTGTGTCAAGAGCCTTATGTTCGGGTCGCTAACACTATAATACGAATGAAAACTTGTTGCTATGAGCTCCCAAATCGGTCAAGTCATACATTTCTTTGTCGAAAACAAACAGTTGGAATATAGTTACATATCATAAGATATCTTATACAACTCTCTGTTCCACTCATCACTTCAACTCGAATAATTTATTATTTTTTATTTTTAACTATTCACGTCCGTCTCACATGATGTCCGGAATTACTTTGGTAGAATGGCATCACTTCCGCTCGTTTATCTTATAAACAAATCGTTACAATAAACAATACGCCGGCCCACTGAGAAATACTTCGTACGTGATTAATACGAGGCTCAAAGGGGCTGATAATGTCCTCCTGTTACCAAGACGGTGTACACCAGTAAATAGCCGTGTTTCATACTAATAATACAAATATGAAAATTTATTTAATATTACAAAACGGCTTCGGCTCTTGATGACACAAATGTAGAACAATCTAGACGAACGCATAAACTATTAATTTACTTTTAATTTAGCGCGGACCAAGACGGGGGCAAATGCTTTACTAAAACGAAGCTATTAAAAAACTAAGCCGCTTAACTTGTATTTCTCTAGATTGTAAGGTAAAGTAGTCAGGTAATTTGGAATTAGCCCCACCTGTCCGTCCCTTGCCCGCCTTGCAATGCACGACTGCCACGTTCCTTGGGTCTTGGCTGAGCCACTTGTGCACATCCTCGCAGAACGGCTGGATGAGGGCGATCTTCGGCGGCGCGTGGTCTTCAAACGCGTACCTCACCACCTGGAACCACGGTGCAAATCATAATTATTATCGGTAAATTTAATTACGTAGAGAAACTATACCAATAGACAGAGAAAAATAAAAAAATTGAATATGAACAATATAATTTATTTCAAAAGTATAACAATCTACACTGTCCTATCATACATTATCTCTTACTCCTCAACCGCTTTCTGTAAATAACAACACCCTCACATTTGCCAGGCCTGTGTCGTAAGGGTTGTATACTGTACAGACTATCCTCGAGTTCGTCATAGGACGAGACAAGCCAGTCTGATACCTCTTTAACTCATATCCTCATAATTGCTCCGAATCTTTGTTAGACCGGAAAAAACGGTAAATGAGAGATCGAAAACAATAAATATTGCAAAGAATGCAAATTACCGTGAGAAAATATTTGCGAGTTAACCCCACCGGAAGTATCGAGTGCGGGCCGGACGGACGGCAAGATATCTGATACTTGTGGCAGAAATTAAAAAAAATACATTTAACCCCTTTTACATTGATGATCGACTACCATGCGGTTACTAAAAAAAAAAAAAACTAAAATAAATTTTCGGAATGTTGGTACAAACTTTTTTCAATATGTGTGGTCTAAAATAAAAATTCATGTCAGTTTAGTGTCATATGCATATTCTGGTTGCCTATTTTTTATTTTTAGGGAGAAATCTTAGTAATAGTACACTGCTCTTGTGACCGTACAAGGTTATGTGAGGTTTTACCTACTAAAACCACTTAGTTGGCCATATTTTAGTACTACATGGACTTCAGGATGTACTTTCTGATAGCCTCGTTTAAACCTGATGGCAATTGTATCTACACTGTGTTACCAAAACTAATGGAAAATATCGCACTTATATCTTATACCAATCGAAACTAACATATTAAAGATAAAAATATCTCCATCATTAGCTCAGTGAATATCAGTAAATCCGGAGAAAGCAATAAGAATTTCCTTTCATAAATTATCCTCAATATCTCAAAGGTAAGGTTCATTAGGTAAAATCGCAATGAATTTATTCATAATACAGTTCATTAGAACAAAATATATTGACTGAGGCTCGTGCCCACGCAGGGAGAGACTAATTTATAATTCATTACTTCGCAGTAGCGAGGCTTCCAAAGATTGATTCACCCCCCACCTACCCACCCACAACCCCACCATATTAAAGCGAGGGTGTGTGGAAACCTAAAAATAAGTATTTCATTGATTTCACATGTATTCAAGCTTTGAAACAGCTTCATTTGATATGAGAAAGTATTACTTACGATTGTAGAGTCAAAACATACATAAAAAACATAAAAACATCCTAAAAAAAACTTTTACCTCCATACAAATAGATTTTATTCAACAACTATAGTAAACTGCCAATAAGAGTTGTTTATTAGTCGAAAACTTACATTCTAAGGGGTTGTATGGTCTATGCGCGTGCAAAAAACGTAAGTGAAATTAGTGGTACCAATTAGTTTGTACTAACAGTCGCAACGCATTCTCTTGCACACGACCGGTCACGTGCTAAAAGCTATCGTGATAAACAAATGATCACTCCGCAATCCGGATTACACGAAACACGAACGCTCGCCATTAAATTGAGATTTAAAGGCATGAGGCGACAACACATTAGAGTGTAACATAGAACCTAATTAATCCATCCCTGCTTTTCACAGCTACATTTTATTAAAATAATAGCTTTCGTACGCACGAAACTAATAAAAAAAAACAAAAGTATGTGACCTATGTGTTCTTCCAGACTATGTTTTACATCTGTGACAAATTTCATCGAGATCCGTTCATCTGTTTAGGCTACAAACTTTAACAATCACCCATCCATCTAAACTTTCGCATTTATTAGTAAGAGTTAAACATAGCTTTATTCAGGGATAGTGTTGCTTTCGAATGTTGAGGGAAATTTAAAAATCCAGTAGTATTTGAATTTATTCATACATTAGCATAGTTGACGTCTATTACTTTACCATAACTTAGCTATAAAAATGTCTTACATATACACCAGTGTATACAGACCTTTACAGTCATTACACGCGCACGAAACCTCCAACCGTACTCCCCGCCTAGCGATTACGATCGCGAAGATATGAACCCGTTTAAAACACGATAATGTATCCGTGCTGGAGCACACCCTGAGGATTTATCGCGAGAAATTGGCGAGATTACGCGCTTTACCAGTCGAGATCTACATCTCCCCTGATTGATGTACTCTACCGGAACAGATGACATGCGTGTTACGATGCTTTACATCACTTAGAAACTCACATATGGCAGATCTCACAAATCACCTTGTGACATACCAGATCTATGATCCAAAAGACCGTGGCCTTTTGGTCCTCGTTTGAATCCTAAATACCATATCTTAATTTAGGTCAATGTTATAATCTAGTCTTTTTTATAACATAAGGTGGCAAACGAACAAGCGGCCACCAAATTCCACCAAACTGGCGAAGCGACCATTACCCATAGACATTCGCAATAGAGGATGCGTTGCCTATCCTTAATCGACGGAAAAGGAGAGGCACATAAAGAGGACACTTCCCCTTCTTATGCATCTCCTGCACCGTCAAATCCACGTTCCCTTCGTAACCTTTTCCTGTAAGAAAAAGGGTGGGAAGGTAAAGGGACTAAAGTTGGGCCTCCGGCACCACACAGTTGTAATCAATTGCAGTACTGGTACATTATTAATGCGCTAAAAACCAGCAGCAATCGATAAAGCGATCGATCATTGACTGAACCAAGATAATATTTGTTCATATCTTTTATCGGCAAACATTTAAATTCACTGTAATAGTGCTGTGGTTTGAGGAAAAAGGCGTTGACATTCTACCTATTGTCAGATTTTAAACATATAAACTCTGTTATAATATTACTTTCTTACTAATATTATAAAGAAAGTTTAGATGGATGGATGTTTGTTAGTTATTAGACTATACGGCTGAACGGATCTCAATAAAATTTGGCATAGACGTAGAGGATAGTCTGGAAGAATACATAGGCTACTCACTTTTGTTTTTTTTTTAATTCCACACGAACGGAGTCGTAAAAGCTCTTCATTTTATAAATTTTCTAGTTAGCGTGGCTCAACCGTATATTCATTTTTTTAACAGGATCCAAAAGACGAAAAAATCTGTTGCCCTTTGATTGGCCTTATAATAAGGCGACGTCATTTAACATATAATTAAATATAAATTACATTACAATTACGGTAAAAAATCATTATATTTAAATATCAGCGAAGACGTACGGAAGCTATAGAGGTCAAATATGATAATAATACAGATAAAACATTTTATTAATATAAAACGGTGGTGGGACCAGCACTTCAAGTTATCAGCATGCTAATTGCTTGTTAATTTTCTCAAATCGGTTACCAAACGAAGGTAACCGCGCCCATTTGTATGAAGATTAGTCGACGGTATATGGAAATAGTTATTTTGGAAAATAACGTAACTTTGGAGGTCACTGGGGTTTTAATTTAATTAATATAAGTTTACCAATAAATGTCACATAAATCATTTTAGTTGCCGTAATATTAAAGTATTTTACTGTATAAAATCTTTTTACAAGCTATTCAACGATATACTTTTGGTGATAGATTTAAAATAGAACGGAGATTAAAAACATCATGGTCCAGAGATTACTTCAAAAATATTATGTACCTTAATTTGTCAGTATATAATAAAAAAGCCTACTTTAGCAAAAATCGGTGTTAAATCAATCACCATAAATTTTTAAATCGTAACCTCATTCCGTAAATTCATGAACAAACGTTATATGGTCGTGGTTTGACAACCTATCCGCGTATTGATTCCCACTTGTAACTGTAATTAACCAAAACTGAGTGCGGTTTTGGAAAATAAAGATTTTATTGATAAAATAATGACTAATTCAAGAGTCTACGCTAATCTGAAACCAACTTTTCAGATATGTGTTTCATTCCCATCTATACTAATATAATAAAGCGTAAACACACATTTTGTGGCGTAAGATGTCAGCTACTACATACATCATATATACAGCATATTTAAAAAAAAAAATCTTTCTTTAATAAAATCGTCAAGCTTTAGGCTTTATATTTTCATGCGATTAAAATTGGGGGGTAAAAAAATTGGATAAAAGCAATAATGTGGGAAAGAGACTATAAGCTACGAGCTGCCAACATCAAGGAAGCAAGATTGCCATGGTAAGGTAATTAGTATTTTGACATTTGTTATTGACAATTTGACAGATGTAAGCAATAAAAAAAAATTCATGCAGATAAAGCCGCACGGGAACAGCTTGTATTCCAATAATTAAAACCCCATCGGGGCAAAAGAAAAGATGGTGGTGAGTTTGACTTAGATAAGACGGCGATGGTATAAAAGTTATAAAAACCATATAAAGACAAAGGAAAACTCAACAATTTGGTATAAGAAAATCCCAGGATTCAGTACCTCTCCGAGATGCTTTCCAACAGAGTGAAGTGCGATATCATATCTTGTACGTATCGAAGCATATGCATCGCATATCTTTTTAATATCAGTTATCTACATGATAGTTGTATGGGCAGTTGCGCTGATAGCCGTTATCGGCGACTGACACGGACGACTGGGGCGACATCTTGTCTGCTAACGCGACACCGCAACTATTCTTAGAACGGATATTATGATATAGGAGAGATAAACAATCGCAGATGCGATATTGAGTTTCGATAATGCTATTGCTATTGTGAGAAATTAAGTCATCTTTAAATATAGTGCAGTTCAAAAATCTCGTTCAAGTATTTGTTTATTTGCTTTAGATATCCGTTGAAAAGGTTGTTTAAAATATCACTGTCATAAATCATAATAAATACCCTCTTTGACAATCGGATACAAATTAAAAAATACAAATAATAATTTTATTTTAAGCTCTTTAAGCTGTGGAAGTCCACGGTTATTTCACCACATATGAATTTCACCCTATACTATTGTAATAAAGCGTAAACACACACTACTTTGTGGCGTAAGAT